GGAAAATAGGAGGTAAAAGAGGTAGAAAAAAAAACTAGGTGTACAACGCACGTATACAAAAAATACAGCTTCTTGGAACGCTCTGTTACGGAAATAAAGGGGAATACAATGTTTTTTTAGCCCCATTTTTGTTAATAGAATAATTTTTGTGGGTTACGCTCTGGAAACTATTCCTTTTTACCTTAATACCCGTTGGACAAATATTTAATAATGATTTTTAAGGATTTTCTTAAACGAAATGTTAAATATATCTCGGAGGTAAGTTGTGAATTCCGGCTATCAGAAATCGTTGTCTCAATTTTACAATGTGCCGGATTTATCGGAAAAGTCGCCATTATAACCCTTCCAGTCCAATAGTTTGCAGATTTTTTTTTTAATCAGCCTATTTCAAACCTGCCAACATTCACTCTTTTCGAGAATGGATTTTCCAAGTGGTAGTAAAACAATTACCGAAAAATTATCTTCCGCAAAAAAAAATTTATATTTTAATCAGGTTGAAATTCAATATCGTAAGGACAAATACAGAGATCCCAACTGCTCCCATGGGTGAAAGCCCTTATATAGCAAGACGGAAAAGAGAAAAACCTGGTACGTAAAACATTTCATTCCAGCATTTTTTTCGAAAAAAATGAAATATCTGTAACTATGAAGATTTCTTTTATAATTCTGGCATATATATAAAACTGCTTCTTTTCCAAGATAAAGTAGATATTGTTGAAAAATTTAAAAAAAGAATAAGTAAACTCCTCCCCAAAACTAGCTATAACTGAAATGGTTTTACTACCAGCCTTTCCTCTTTTCCGTCTCGCTTTCACCTCTGGTGCTGGACATGAAAAGATTGTTAAATGAATTTCGGCTATGATCTCATCTACATTGCTGTTATAATTCATTCATCAAATTAAATATTTTTTTCCAAAATTCATCATGATTCGTCTTCATTTATCAATCTATTAACATAATCAACAATAATCAGCCACGCGGACATATGATGACAGTCACATATACCATAGTCTATTCATGATTTTCTTTTATTTTACATTCAAAATTCTCTCGTATTGATAACTAAACAAATTACATTATTTTGAATAAGACGCAGCAAATTTTTTACCTCGTCAAACATTTTTTGTTTAATAATAAAGGGAAATTCCATTTTTTGTGAAAGAAAGTTGTAATGGTTGATAGTGAGGAAGAATTTCAAAAGCTTTCGCAGTAATTATCCCAGAAACAAACAGATTAAATGGGAATGAAAGAAAAATGTAAAAAGGTTAATTAACAATTAGTTTGCCAAGACTCTGACAGCGTTTTCTGATTTAAAAATGATAATTCCTTAATAATTGAAAAATTTTAATAGAATAAAAATATTGTAAGCTTAATTAAGATCTACAAACAAACTTTATAATGATTAAACATAATGGATTTTTTATCATTTGCACTTGGTTGGACATAAATTAACTTCATTTAACTGAAGTTGCGTTTTTTACCTCAAATGCACTGTGATTACAATGAACAATCATTTTATTTTTTTGATTTTGTAATAGATTTTTTTTTTTAGATTTAGTTTTACGAAACTAAAATCTATCGTAATAACTCAACTTTTAAAAAATTTCCTATTGAGCAATTAACAAATAATTCAACATAATGCATAAGTTATAATTGTCAAAAATCATTGTAAGTTTGAATAACCTGGTAGAGTTGAAGTTCGATTTTAATTGCACAAGAACAAAAATCTATATCTCCCGGTTAACTTTAAGAATACTTATTATTTGAACTGCGCAGTAAACTAGGCCTGGCTCAAAACAGAGCAATAAAAACTATGAAAGATATCCGTGGGTACCTTAAGGAGGCAAGAACCTTGAGGTTTAAGTCAACTTAAATAACATAGGAAAAAAAACAGTTATGTATGAAAGCCTTACTTATGGAGGTGGCCTAATCCACTTATTAAAATACCGGTGTTTGTTCCATTAGCACATATCCACTACTTTACTTTAAAGTCACATTTCGTCCACCGTATGAAGACAACTGGCATTCAGATAGTTCATTTTCCCCGAAGAGGTAGTCGTATTGAAGAATCGACTTTGGCGCTTGGTGAACATGATCTTCTTTATCTCACGTTGATACCTTTCATCTCACTTGGATTTCTTTTATCTTCTTTTTATCCTTTAATCTAATGTTTAAGGGGAGCCGGTAGGGCATATGTCAATAATGCTAAAACTGACCTTTTCTGATGTACCTTTTCTAAGAAACTACTCATGATATCACCTTGAAACTGTTTAGAGATCTTTTAGATAATATCAGTTGTAGGCTGTGATAATGTTTTAGCGTTAACACGAATACGTTTTGAGTTATTAAGATTTTTTCTCAAAAATGATGAAATTTCAAAAAAAAATTTCGAGTTTTTAATTCATACTTTTTTTAAAAAAAATTCCTGCCAAGGATGTGTGTTGACAGTTAACGCAATATAAACATGCATATGTAAATATTCTGTGAAAAAAACAGAGGCAATATCTTGCTTAGATGCTGAGAAAAGGTACATTGAAAAAGGTCAATTTTAGGATTATTGGTATATTCCCTACCAACGCTTCTTAATCGTCTTTTTACGATAGATGGTATTACATCTCCAGCTTATTCTTGCCGAACCGAGATTTCTAAAATTTAAACTAGATCTGAAAAAAAAACACAATACTTAAACTTTAAGGCTGTGCATGTTGCAAAGATCAAAAAAAAATAAAATGAACTAATTAGTCAAAAAAGGCTTTAATATGAGGTTGATAAAATTATGATTAAATTTTATAAAATATTAAATGATTTCCTAAGTTATAGCTATTCGCGATCGCAACGAACTATAGGGGGCGTTGTTGTATGAGACTAATACCTGCGATTTCTATATGAACAGTCATTCAATTACTCTAGAGACGTCGTTAATGTAGCACGTAGCGTTACAACGTTCCTTCTTTATTGTGGCTAATTAAATTTAAAAAAGAAAAATGCTTGATATTCTTTCTTATGCAAACGAAAACAAAATGGTATCTCTTTTTATTAGAGAAGGAATATCCAAAACACATCGGAAAAATATTTGTACATTAACAGAAAAAAATATGTATATTCTTATAACAGTTAAAACCTAATGCCCGAGAAATAGTAGGGGAGAGTGGGGTCAATTGTAACAGGGTACGATTGTAACAGAGCAAAAATTTCGAGTGCCGGGTACTAGATTTGGTTCCTAGGTGGAGCACAAGGTGTATTTAACAAATCTACATGTACACCCCTGCTGGCAACCATTTTTTATCTACTTTTGAAAGAGTTACATCACGAAAGATATTTTCACGATACGTAAGTACTTTTTTTGGTATTAGAATATTATATTGTAACAAAGTAATTTNATTTCAACCTCAAATAAACAGCCAATTTGTGTTAGAACTAAATGTAAAATTTTTGATGTGTCTATTCCTATATTCATTTTGATTATAATATCTTTTGCTTTGTTTATTTTCATTTTTATGTTTAATAAATGCTTTTCTTCACAGCAATTGAAAAAATTGACTGATAAGTTGAAGAATGATAATGATTATTCATGTTCATGTGCCTTAAAGGATGTCAATAGACCAAAGAATAGATATAAAGACATTGTACCATGTAAGTTAGCTTTGATTTCTTATGATGTTTATTTATATGAATTAACTATATTTTTTCATTTCAAAAAAGTTTAATTCAAATTTTTTAAAGTCAATTTTTTGTTCAAATTTTTTTATTTCAGTATATTATTTTTGTTATTTTAATAGGAAAACTTTGTTAGTTTATTATTTATTCTCTTTTATTATGACTTTAAAATATAAGTATGAAACTTTCTTCATTTAAATCAAATTTTAACTTTAATTAAGGTATCTAAGATCACTAGTTTGCTTTAACCCATTTTCAGCAAAAGGTGTGCAACCGCACCATTTCAATAGATATTTTTTTATTAACATTGTGACTAATATTTTTCATTAATTTTATTTTTCTGCTCTTGTCAAGGGTTCTAAAGAAATTTACAAAATATTAGTAATTCAATTAGAGTAAACACTTTCTGTTTTGAAATTTTTAAACTACTCTAGCTTATTAACTTCAAACGATTATTGACAAATGAAATTTTTTTAAATGTATAATTATTCCTTTTAATATTTTTCCTTTTTTGTTAAATGAGTTGTGGTTTTAATTTTTTTAGATGACAAGTCACGAGTCATTCTTCCAAAATGTGAAGGTATTCCTGGATCAGATTACATAAATGCGAGTCATATAAAGGTATATTAATTTTTATTTAAAAAAAATTGTTTTTGGTTAAATAAAGCATCTAGAAATCGTCACTTATTTTTGATATTTTACTCCAAATATATGACATTATTGTACTTCAGAAACTGTATCGTATAACACGTTCGTTGAATGCTCTTAAATTGTTGGAAGTGATTAAAAATTTCCTATAATAGCAAGGTGTCTCCATATACAATCACATTACCCATATTTTTTTTTTTTTATGTATTTGCATTGTATTTCTTTACTGCAGAATGCATTTGCTTTAAGGCATGGAATTGATTTTTTTTTATCCTGCCAACATATAAGAAAGAATAAAAGTAATATGTTTCCTTTCTCAATAGTAACACCACTAAATAATAATTTTATTAGTTAATAACTGTTTAACAGTAAAAAAATATTAACCTGCTTCAAACTGAATTTAATAAAAAAATTAAATAAATAAAATAATTTCAAAGTTACCCAGGTTACACAATCTTATGTTTTGTCTTTCTTGTGAAGAATGTTTGTGTGTGATAGTATAATATTTCAAATGCATTAAAGTCAACTAATAAATCTGAAGAAAATGCTTAAAAAAGCTTTTATTGAGTATAGTGCTAATAGGATACAAATTTCTGATATTTCGTTAAATAAAAATGTGTCCAGTATTTATTTCTTAAATTTATTTGAAAATATAATTTAGAAATCTAGTGAGAAAATTTAAATGCTAGAATCAATAAATAGAACAAAAGAATGTGTCAAAAAGTATAAAAATAAGTTTAATAAATACAAACAAGTAATATAAAAATTTTATTTTAGTTACTTTTTAATAAATAATTGCAATTTTTCTCCAATATAAAACTGAAATTAATTAATTAAATTTAATTAATGAATTAATATTTCAAAAAACTGAATTAACATCAGTGTCATCCACTACAAGTTTAAAAAAATATATTTGATTATATATATTGAAAAATATATTGGATGAATAAAAATTATTTTATTAACGATTTAAAATTTGAACAAGATGTAGGGAGAGTGAACTAATAGTATTGAACAGTTAAATAGATAAGTTAGTTTCATTATTAAATACAATTAACTACTTTTAAAATTTTTAAATTTAACTAAATTATTTTTAAAATGTAATGAATGGATAAATAAAATATGTCAACTAATACTTAATTTGGAATGATTAAAATAATAGTTAAGTTTTTTTTCTTTAAATTTTTTATTTAGGGAGCTAGTGGTGCTTTAGCTTACATCGCTGCTCAAGGGCCTCTACCAAATACTGTGATAGATTTTTGGAGAATGATATGGATTTGTGATGTTCAAGTTGTTGTGATGGCTTGCAATGAGGTGGAATCTGGAAAAGTAAGAATTTAAGGATTTTAAATAACCTGTTTGTAATTTGTCTGTAAAAAATCATAAGTTATTATTTATAGTTATTATATATATATATCATAGTTTGTAGTGTTTTTTAAAGGTGCTTATTTTCGGTTTTCGAGTTTTAAAAGCCCTTAAAGGTGCATCTATAAGAGATGCACCTTTAAGGGTTACAGATTTGGGGGCCCCAGTTAAAGAGCCGATAAATTTTAGTTAACATGCAAGGTCTTAAACTTAATATTGAAAAAGTATTTTTCAGACCATAAAAATTGCAAGTAACATGAAACCTTATTTAGAAGTACGTCCCCCAGATACTCAGAATTTAATTTAGTGAAATTGTAAAAAAAAAAATACAAAAATTGAATAAACATATCTAGAGGTTTTGGTTAGAATGTTAAAAATTATGAAGGAAACAAGATATTTGTACCGATTACCTAGAAAAACATAACGTAGAATTCTAAAAAAAATCATTTTAGATTTATTATTGAGTTTAAAATTTATTTGACATTTTAAGAAAGTTGACCTAAATACTCAATCAATAATTGGCTAAACATTAAAAAAATAGTTTTATCAAAAAATTAGAATATAGCATAAGATTTCACAATGTTTGTTTAATTTGTTTTATATATGCATGTAACACACTTTTACTGTATTCAAATGCATAACAACCCCAATATTTGATGAATAGAAGCAATAAATCAAAAAATTTAATTGGCTATAAAAATTTAATACAAATATCAATTTAAAATTTTATATTAAAAATATACAAAAGCATTAGAAAAATCTATGTAAAAATATATGGATGCAAAAATAAATCAAAATTACAAAAAGTAAATTAATAAACTTAACCAGAATATTATATAAAAGCAAAACACATGAAAAAAAGTGATTCGCATGATGTTTTTTCTCACACAAATTGCTTTGGAGTCTTTTTTGTTGTTGAAGAGGCTTTGATCAATTTTGTGAAACTACTTTAATAAGCTTTTTTCTAGATTTCTTTGCCGAAAATTCAGAAATAATATCATCATACGATAAAGCTGTAGTTACATCAGCTTCAATTGCCATTAAGGCCTCACATACCTTTTAATGCTTCAAAAAATCGATNTTACATCCGCTTCAATTGTCATTAAAGCTAAAGCCTATAGCTTATCATCAGCTAATAAATTTCTTAATGGAGATTTTAGCCTCTTCAAAAATGAAAAAGATCTTTCTCCAGAGCAATTTGAGACAGGAATTGACAAAAACAGCTTCAGTGCAGCCTTAACATTTGGGTATTCTCAATTTCAGGATTCATTTTCCACCCTCTGATATTGAACCGAAAAATTTTGATCTTTATATGATGGATAATATAATCAAGAAAACGATTTGTCAGAAACTAGTTATTTTATCATGATCATGTAAAGTCTTAAAAACTTATTTTGCATTTTGTTAATGTATATGGTGCTTAAAAATATTTTTTGAGTGCTTAAAAAGTATTTTGCTTATTTTTTGTTGAAAGATTTGGCTACGCACTCCGTATATGTAGACCAGCTGTTCCCAATATGCTTTTTTCTGTGGAACCCTAAATAATCACCCTTCCAAACCCCAACTTTATAAATAAAGTATAAAAAAGACTATATAGTGAACATATTAATCAGTAAAAAGACTAATGTGAATATTTAATAAGGGGAATGAAATTTTCTCGTTGTTATTTTATTAATAATTTTAAATTTGGTTTTATACTTGGCGGTTAAATTTTCAGTTTTGGATTTGAATCTAGTGTAGCTATGAATGTGTTTGTTGTATGCTAAAAACAGCCGAATTATAGTTTTCGTGTGAATGAAAGCTGAAACGAACTGTTATAAGTGTTGATAATGGTGATCAGGGCAAAAGCATTTCTACATAAACAAATTTAGTTATTTTATTTGAGTTGAATAGCAAGATTGAAAAATACTAATACAATTTTTTATAAATGCATTTTCAGAATGTAGTTCAATTAAATTCTATTTTTAAAAGTTTGCTGTTTCTTTTTCAGTGGCATTTTACTTTAGATAATTTTAGAAAGGAATCGAAATATCAAATAAATAATGGATTATTGATTGGTTTTAAATATAAAGGCTTCAAAAACTCTCAAAACTTTCTCAATATTTCCACGCTATCCTAGGGTTTCGCAGTTCCCATATGGGAACTGCTGGATGTTATAAGATTTGAAATTAATATCTAATGCTCCATATTTAGAAAGAGCATATGGTTTGGTATTAATATCATGAAAGTTTTAAATTGACAATCTTAAAATATTTATAACTATTTTATAGTTAAAGATGTTAAGTTTAATTTTGCTACCTCAGTCTTTTATGCTTTAATTACCAATTTTATTTTTTATCCAATATTGTGGTATTTCATCGAACCTCGTATGAAATTTTTCATCATTCTTAAATAATTTGAACACTTTTTGTTTCATAAGTTATATTTTGCTGAGTTTTCTTAACTTTTGAAATTTCTAAAATTCATTATTGTTTAATCTAAATATGTATTTTCTCTAATATCTTCATTTTATTTATCTATAAAGAATATCATAAGTAGCAGTAGCAAGGATTTAAGCATGTAATTTTAGTCTGAAAGATTTTTCCTAATAGCAATGTTTTACATAAATGTAATTTTTCTCCTTTATCAATTTTTATTGAATTGTAATTTTGTTTTAGAATAAGTGTGAGAAATATTGGCCATCTAAGGGTGAAGTGAAACATTTTGGAAACATTTCTGTTGAATTGGTAAGATTTTTTATTTAATTTTATTACAATATATAATTATGTTTGTCAAATAAATCAAACTCAGATAGAAAATTTCCTGTAAATAATTTTGTAACCAATCTCAAACTTACAAGTATCAGAATGAATAATGCAAATATACCCTAAAGAGAGGTTCAGACATAGATTAAGATATTCAGTTTAACTTGTATTAAATAAATGTAACACTTAGTATATTTAACTCGAACTTGCTAAAATTAAAATTGAAGTTAAAAGTTATTAACATTTAAGTTAAATGCTATTTTTTCTCCCTTTCTAATTCTACAACTAATTCTACCTTTGCTATAATTTATATTTTATGAACTTGCAACAGAATATAGTTGTCTGCTATAGCTATATCAATTTATTATTATCTTTCAAAAAAATATATTTTGTTTAGTCCATTGCAAATAGTCCAATGGTAAGCACCTACTTAAAATTGTGCTTTGCTGTGTATTTATTTAATGATTATAATATTTAAGTGAGTGACTGTATAAACTACCAAATTTTACTAAAAGGTATATCATGTCTTTGATCTAAATTATATTAATGTAAGGTTATATCATATTAATAATAAAAAGCATAAATTACCTAAATTAGCATAATAATTTATTTTCCTTGTATTTTTTTATAATTTTTATTTTATTATTTATTTATTTATTATCTATTATTATTTTATCTATTTTTTTTATTTATTTTCTGTTTTTTATTTATTATTTTTATCCATTATTTTATATTTATTATTTTTATTTATTTTTCTTTGCTTGACTATTAATGAGCATTTGAGATATATGCTTGTATAGAAAGTTTCTTTAAATTTGTTACTTTTAGAAGTCATGGTTTTTATTTAATGCTTTCATAATCTCTACAACTCTGATTGTATTCTACTCGTGACTTATTATATTAGTAAAATCATTTATTATTTTTCTTTAGATCAACACTTCTCAGATCTGTCAAGATTTTTTAATACGAACTCTATTAGTCAAATGTGATTCAGAAATGAGGGATGTTTACCAGTTTCACTATACATCTTGGCCTGATCATGGAATTCCTGATACCGTTCATCCCATTCTAGAATTAGTACGCTTGATGCGTCAGTGCCAAGCATCAGAAACAATGCCGATTGTTGTCCATTGCAGGTAAAAGTTTTTCTTAAATTTTATTTTTTTGCAGGCATTTATAATATTATTCTTAATTTAAAGCAGTTTTAATGTTTTATTTTGTTGGTGCCATTGGCGAGTTTGAGTTTCGCCAGTAGCGGCAGCTCCATCCCCACTCACTTCGTATGAATTTTTCACAAGCTCTTGTGCTTATTGTATTTCGTTTTTATTGTATTTCGTTTTTATTATTTTTCGTTTAAATAAAAAACTTGTTATTGTTATTAACTATTTGCATTACTTGACCTATGGATACTTTATTGTTATGGTGGGTTGGACCCTCCATATTTCATTTTCAATTTTTCATGACAATCATATGTATTAAAGAATAAAGTAATTTTGAGACATTTTTGTTCTTTTAGAAATTTTTATCAGTTCCAAAATTTTATGAATGAAGCACTAAAAACATGAGTTGTTAAAGAAAAAGTTTACTGAACAAATTGTTTGATAATTTCTGATATTCTGTTTAGTTTTTTCAAGTATTCTTTCAAATTTGTTTTCTATCCTTATTCTAAGAGAGAGTAAAAAATATATACATATATATATTATCCTGCTATTGAATTACACAAATATCAAGTATTTGATTATCCCGAAAGACTTAACTATGAACTAATAATTAACTTCCAGCATTATAAAATCTATTTTTGATAACCTTTTTTTAAAAAAATTTATTAGTTTTGAATGGTTGAAAAAACAGAGGAAATGTTTTTCCCCAAAATTGTTCATTACTAAAAAATGTTAGTAATTCAGCTAACAACCATTAGTTAACTTATATCAAATCTGTCAAACTACTGTAAAGTAATTTATGTTTTCTTTATATGTATTTCATATATATTTATTTTTTATGTACCCTATTGTCTAAATTTTTTTCATCTCAACTTCATTAAACAACAAAGAATAAAATGGGCAGGCAGCGTTATCAGAATGGACAAAGACCGTACCACAAAAAAAGTTTTCAATGCCAGACCAGTTGGCACAGGAAAAAGAGGCAGATTGAATTTGAGATGGATAGATGGCCGAGAAAAAGACCTTTTTGGTCTTAAAAACTAAAAACTGGGAAATACTAGCAGGAAAAAAGTTAGTCTGGAAAAAACTTCTGGAGAAGGCCAAGGCCCACCCTGGGCTGTTGAGCCATTGATGATGATGATGATTGTCTAAATTGCTATTTTTGATATTATAAAATATATATCTATAACTTTGCTAGTGTAATTTTTAATTTTTTTTTTCTTTTTGCAGTGCTGGCTGCGGGAGAACTGGAACTATTTGTGCTGTAGATTTCGTATGGGCTTGTCTGAGGCATGGTGTTAGTATTAACTTTTTTCTTGAGTAATACATAGATAACAAGTTGCTTCTTCAAAAAACACAATATATTCGTTTCAATTAGTTCTGTAAAAATAGTTTGAAATGGTGCATAGTGGTATGTTTTTAAAGAACTTATTTTACCAGGAATAGTTTTAGTATTAAATATACTTTATATTGTACCTAGGGCCTTATAAATTATGCGGAAATATTTTTGATATTATGCGACAAGGATGTGAAAATTTGTAAAAATTATTTAAAGAGATTGGAGGTCACCTATGAAACGAAACAGAAATTTAAAAAGAAAATATAAAACATTTTTGATTTTCTTTCTTACTTTAATTACCTTTCGTCCTAATTCAACATCACAACAATTATTAAAGTACTGTGAAATTAGTCCAAAAGCTGAAATTTCTTTAAACTTTGTTTCTGTTTCATAAGAATTAAAACGTAACTGGATATGGCTCTTTTTTTATTTTATTTTTTTATTTATCCGCTTTTCTTTTATGTCTACTGAATTAGGCAGGTCAAAAAGGAATTGCCTCTCTTGTCCTGTAAGTTCTAGAAATTTCTCTGAATTCCAGAACATTCTTTAACATGTTCTTAGTTTGCAGCATAAAAGAAGTTGATTGTCATGTTCAAACTATTAGCAAAGGAGAAAGTTAGGGATAACTTGATGAAAGGATTCTAAAAAGTTAAAAGGGTGAAATTGCTTGGGATAAGAATTCTAAATATAAATTTTCTGGTAAATGATGATATTTTGCTGAAAAATGAAAATTTTGCAAGTACTCTTGTGATTATGTGGATATTTGTAAATTTTTGCAGCTTCACAAAATGTACATGTCTCTTATTTAACCTATTTGTGATTTTTATCAAGTCAAATTTTACTTATTGTTCTAAACTTTTAAGTGTTATTCAAAGTTTATGTAAATGAGTACTTAATATTTACCAGGGGTCTAGTTATTTTGAGAGGTAGCTATTTTGTGAAAATTTAGATATAATTTGTGAAAATTAAAAATTATGTAAAAAAAAATCAACACAAGAGTAAAAAATATTTAAAAAAATTGTCACTACAAATAAAAATTTATGACTGGTAAATTTCTACATACTTTTCCTCATGTATTCAAAAATAATTTTGCTATTGTAAAATTTTGACCTTAAAATTTTATCCAAGTTTAAAAATCCATTAAAATCATTGTCCACAGTTAAATTTCAATTTGAATTTATTAAAAACATGCATTTACAGTACGAGCACTAAAAGTTATTTTCATTATTTGAACATTTTCCACTAGGTCATATGGAAAAAAGTTTCACAGAGATAAAAATGTTTCATAAAAAAATAAAGGTCTGAAAGAATAAATTTACAATGTTTAAGATAATGTTCGAATGTTTAGAATAATGTTTGAATCTCAACTTCCTGTACAGTTTATAGAAGGACCTCATCATTTCATTTAAAAAAAAAAACTCAGCCAAAAAAAAGCTCCCTTTGATATGGCGTAAGTTACCTTTTAGGCTTACCACACTGCACTATCTGACCAAACACGTGCTACCTTTTCGTAAAAGACAGCTGTTAGTACATTTACCTTGGACGGAACCCTGTTTACTTAAAAATTTTTTCATTTTATGGAGAAAAAATTTCTTCATCTTTATAAGTTTTTGGTAATTATTTTTTCAGAAACTCTCAGAAGATTTCTCGTTATTTCAAATTGCTGTTGAATTGAGGAGACAAAGGATTGCCATGATACAAACTAAGGTGAGGGGGAAATAAAATGCTTCTGCTAAGTATTTGAAATTACAGTTAATTCCTTTATTTTTGTTACAACCTAACTTGATATTCTTAATTTATATTTTTGATTGTTTGATAGAATATATCTTGTTGTAGTTGCTCTAAAGATAACTTGAAATTTATAGCTTTGTAATTTTTTAGCTTTGAAATTTATGTCATTACTTTAAAAACTTAGTTTCCATTAAAATTATGAAATATTATAATTCCATCAAAACATTCCAATTATTATCTTTTGATGAATTATAAATAATATATATTGAAATCATTAAATAATTTAAAGTTAACAAAAACATTAATTTAAAATTGCAAATAACTTTTAACTCATTGGCAGTTGAGCAAATGGGCAAAATTGGGAGAATGTTTTTCTCCAATACACTATTTCCCTATCTGATAACATAGAAAACCAGTTATGCTATGTGGAGAAGTAACTTAATAGATAATTAAACTTATGTAGAATGAGTATAAAAATAAATTGAGTTAAAAAAAAGTGTGATATTAATTATACTATCATAGTTTATTTGTTAAATTAGATCACAAAGTTTGTTATTTGTATCAAATTAAATTTTATTTATTTTCCTTTGAAGCCTGCATATGGAATTGCTTCAGGAAGGTACTTCATTTTTATATTTACTTGTTTTGATGTATGATTATTGTTATATCCTATCTATCTTTTGATATTTGTTATAGAATTTAAGAAGTTGTTACTTTTATATATGTTAATATAAGTTAGGTTTATGCAAATTTGATTCATATCTAGCTTTTATGTGTTTTTAAATTGTCACTCCATTGCTTTGACTGTAATTTAATAATTTTCAAATTCTAAAGAAAATCGAAAGATTAGTGTTAAAGGTGTCTTTTTCAAACATGGAAATGTGCTGTGTTAAAAAATAAAAAAAAAAGGCATACAAATACAAAATGCCCCCATCTAATAAACATGCTTAGAATGACAAATAAGATGATATTGGTGGAACTAAAGTTTAAATTCTCTGTTCTTTGTGTTTTTATGATCTCTGTTGCAGTAAAATGTAATTACTTCCTCTTTAATTATGGTTAATAACCATAAACTATTGAATCATTGATGTTGTTCTTACAATCAAAATATTGTAGAGAAAATCACACATGTATGTGATGCAAGTCGTATTACATTAAATTTGAGTTACTAAAAGATATTCTCTTTTTAGTTTTGTAATATTGTCCTTAGAATTGATAGCAAGAAATTTTAGTTGATATTTTAGTGTTAAACAAATTTTTGTCATTGACTTATTTCCATGTGAATTTTGATTGAAAATTAAATTTAATACTGTAGTCATAAGAGCTGTAAATAAATTTCACTCTAGACTTAGATTGGGGAGAGACCTAATTTCTTTTTCCCACAACAAACCAATTTTTATCTATATTTCAATAAAAATAAATTTTTGTATAATTTAGCTGAGGAGGTTAATAAAAAGTTTTAACTGCAATTTTCTTTCAAATTGAAAGAAGAAAAAGAAAAACCTAGTCTTAACTATAGATTTTAGTTATAGCATTATGAAACTTTAAAAAAATGTTGGAAAATAACACTCTTAAATGTTTAAGAAATATATTTTTCATTAGTTTAAAAGTTTTTATCTGAAACATAAAAGTGTTGTATTATTTATAAGTAAAAATGCACTGTTATTTATAAGAAGGAGGGATATTGTTTCATGAGCAGGACTGTTATTGTCAACTGAAACATCAATTAAAACTATTATTTTGGAGAAAAGGCTACTATAGTGACTAATTTAGCCAGAATTAAGGTAAAAAAGACTTCTTTGCAATAAATATATTACATTCACTAATAAAAGCTCTGATAAAATATATTACTAATATGATATAAAACATTATTTGAACTAAATATTTCTAACTAAAATTATTACTGAATTATTACAAGCTGTCATTGAATAAATAAAATATAGATATTTCTATTCAAGATCAAGATCTTCATGGTAAAGACAAAACTCAATTTTTGAATTTAATACAAATTAATATAGATCAGCACACCATGAAGAAGGAAGTTAACTATTCTAAATTACTTTTCACACCACTAGTCTTTCTTCCTTATTCACATACAGAAACTACATATTTTAAAAGTACTTGTATTTAAGGAAACCTAAAACAAGATGGGTATAATTAAATGTGTTTATTAAATAGTTAATTATTTTACATACAGCTAATGAAAGATTATAATTTAAATTACAGTTGAACTTGTTTATAACGAGCTCAGATTTAACGAGAACTCAGATTTACCGAGGGAAACGAAAATATTTGGTTGGATCAATGTTAAGTCTATGGAACAGAAGTCGCTTTTAACGAGCAAAACCCGGTTTTAGCGAGCAATATTTTTCTGTCTTGCAATCTTTTTTCTCATCTTTGTAGGCTTTTCGATCTTTTTTCAAAATGATAAGAAATGCAGGGAACGAGTTCAAAGTAAGCTAACAAACTACTATTTTAAATATGTAGATTAATGAAAAAAATAAATGTTTTGATAAGAATCTTTTCCTTTATTTTTCTTTCCGTTTATTGTTTCTATCCTTTAAGAATGTAGAGCAACTAGAAATCTTTTGCTGGTTGGGGGGGGGTCAGTTGTCATTAAATTAAGGAAAGTATTTAATTAAATTAATTAAAGTAAGTAAGCATTAATTAAATTTTAAGTAAACTCAATCATTTGACTTCCCAAGCCCCCCCCCCTCTTCTGGTTGCACGCCTGCCTTAAGGACCCATTTATTACAAGCACTCGAATTTAACGAGTATAATGTTACGGTCCCTTTGTGCTCGTTATAAACGAGTTCGACTGTATAATGTTTTATAATTTAAAGTTACTTTTATTCGCTTAGTCTTTATTTATGTATTAGTATGTTTTGAACTCCAAAATATTTATATACATCTCTCTAGCGTTACTTTATTTAAAATTTTTAATATCGATGAAATGATTTTTTATTTTTAAACAACATATTATAGGTAAAATACCTTTTACCTATAATTTACCTTTTTTTTAATCTTTCTGTAGGTAAGAAATCTTTTTGATTTAAATAAAAAAAATCAAGTGATTTAAATCATGTTAATTTAATCCCACATGCGTTTCATAGTATTGTGTTATTACAGGAACAGTACATCCTTGCCCATAAAGTTGTTGCTACACTTTTTGAGCAGCAATTGAATGTTATTGACTGCCATCCGTACGTGAATATAGATGAAGATGGAGAGCCATTGATTTGGAAGGAGTTAACCAAGGTAGATTTTATTATTTTTATTTTTTAGCATTTGTTTCTTATCTAGAGAAAGATTAAAATAATTTTAATAATGTTTTTCATGCTTAAAAATAACTATATATATTATACTAATAAAAAAACTGTATTAGTAATTCTCTTATTTTTTTAGTAAGCTGTTTTCCTCATTTCATTCTCTGTAGTTAATACTTTTTCTCTGTAGTTAATACTTTTTTTTATTAATGGGTATTTTTTGCATGCCATAGCTGTTTTGAATTTTTTTATTTCTTTGTAAAATGAATATCTTTTACTAACAGCTTATATAATTTTTAGAATAAAAGAATTGCTCTGAAAGAAAAATCTCCAGAATCCACTCAGTCTGTTGATAAAATTCATGAGAAATCTTCTTCTGAAAAGAATGTGTGCAATAAAAATGCTACAAATGGTAATAAGCTGTAAACAAAGTTATTGATTTAATATATTTATCCATGCATTGTTTTTGTTATTTGAAATTTTTTATTAGAGTAGACTCTTTTTCATTTGATCTTGATAATTTAAAACATTGATATTTACATTAACATTAATTCCGGTAAAATTTCTTATTGACTTGAAGGTTAAAATTTTAATTTTAAAATATTTCTCTTTGTGTGTTACAAAGTTTGTGATTCGAAAAATAAAGCCTTTTCAACTTATAAAAGATTATTTTAAATAAAATTAGTAACATTATTTTTTAAAGAGAAAGGGGTCTTAACCGTCAGACTTGTTTTAATTTTTAAAAACGGAAACTAAAAAAGTTTTGAGTCATGAGGGTGAAAAATATAGCCATTTTAAAGAAATGAAATTGTTTGAAGTATTTTAGATCATCACTATCAACCTTAATAATACTGATAGTAAAATAATACAGAAACAAAGAATGAAAAATATATTTGATAACTCTTTTTTTTTTTTTAAATCAGTGCAGGTACAGTAGAACCTCAATCAATAATTTTTCATGGACCCAGTCATTACGAACATTAGATACGGAAAACCACAAATGTGGGTCAACATAAGTAATGCCACAATAAGCATTACATATTACCTAGCTTTTAAAATTTCTTTAATTTCTTAAACTTATTTTTTTAATCATTCTTAATCGAATTGTAATTAAATTAAATCAATTATTTAATTTATAAAAAGCGAATATAAAATATTTTATTCTTTTCTTATCAATCATTGTGACGACCAACTTTTTATTTCAGTACTAATTTAGACTTGTTAATTCACTAAATCGAAAGTAAAAATCTATTTATAACCCTTTATTGATTATTTCTTACAGCAAATATGTTTCAGTTACATGGCTATGTTCATTATCACAGTCTTGTTGGCGATTTGAGATCACCAAAGTATTTTAAATCTAATACTGATTATGGCTTTATTTTTGGCAATGTTATCTTTCGATAATTGGCCAACCTTGGATCTCTTCCCATGCTCCTAACTGTCCATTGGGAACAATTCATACACTTTCAATTTCCAATTTTTGGCGACTGGGGGTACCGTTTTGTACAGCCCAGTTTCAACCGTTAAAAAATATCATTCTTTATTCTCAATGTGAAGAGAATCATTTTTCTTGATCCCTTTAAGGGTGTTTTCTTTATTTTTAATTATGGTCATTTTCAATACTCAATAAATCAATTTTTCTTAAAATGATTTAATTCATTTCTCTGAGATAATTATCATTATATTTCATCCAAATTAAGATGTATCTGTAAAGACCAAAAGTCAATGATGATACCTGAACTATCGTTAATTAATTTAGAATGACCACCGCTACTACAGCATAATATATCAAATTACTCAAAAATGTCATAAAGAAATAATAAAATTCAAAATTAATTAATTTACAATTCATCCAAACATTGTGCAGACACAGGTTGTGATCCCATTTTGCCATCAATATCATTTTGTACTTCACCATCTTCTGCAACCATTTCTTGAACCTACAACACCACAAATTTCAAAATTTTCATCATCACATATCAAGCGTAAACATCACATATGATGTTTAATGTATTTTTCTCAAAATGTAACCAGTCCTTATTTTCTTCTTCATCATTAGCAACATCAGGAAATACTGTTTTGCATTTCAAAATGAAATATTTTCAGTATTTTTTTTTTTTTAAAATGTTGGATGAATTTTTGATTGATAAATACTGGAAATTGGTAGTTTCAAAAAGATGTCTGTCGTATATTTTGGATTTGTTTCTAATATATGGTAAAATGCATTTACTCTGAATGTAATGTCAAATTTTAGAACTTATAAGTTTTTAATGATTTGTATTAAGTTAAATACTTTTTGGACTAACAATTGATAATTGTTGATATTATTCTACTGACCAATTTATATATAACCATCATAGTTACGAACTCCTCTACATATGCAGAAGCTTTCTACATCTATGCTCCATTTTATATCTTATACTGAAAATGGGCATTCAAAAAACATTGAACTTCTGCATTTTGAAAAATGAGCATTGTTATTTTGCACCCTCTTGGAACTACTTATGTCTACACACTCATGCGTAAAGATAGGCTCTACAACCTTGCTTAGACAATGAAGTCTTGAATTTTTACTACGCTTCAGCTTGATCAGTGTTTTAGGTCATTAATTAATGCAAAGTATGAGATGTTTAGCATCTTATAGCATTAAAAGAAATCATACTTTTCTTCTTTTTCAGATTTATTTTAAGTGATGGTGTTAAAACACTAAATTCCACTTATGAACACTATATTACAATAAATGTACTATTAATTCTTTAAATAAGGAATAAAAATTGAAAGCATTCAAAATCTTCTGTATAACTAATTTCTTCACCAATTTTGTAGTAAATCATCTGCATTTAGAAGGAAAAAAAAGAAAAAATGGGGGTTGAAACTGAATTGAGGTCTTAAAGGGCATAAAAAAGTAATTGAGTATTATCTTTTCTGCTACAAATTACCTAACTTTTAATTTGAGTTTATTTTTATATAGACGTGGCTCTTTTTACATTGTCTAATGATCTGTTAATAAAGAAGTAGTTAACATGATCAGCAGCATTGTTTCTGAATCTAATAGCAAAATATCATATTATTATCTGCAGTTGTTTAATTTTTGAATTTCTTTTTGTAAAACATTGTTTTGCGAGTATTTTCCACTTTTGCTACGTATTACACTACTTGTAATAAGGTCTTACATTGCATCACATAAAAATATAATTTAAGAGTAAAATATCTTCTAGCAGTAATATATTTTTTAATAAAATAAATTAATATATTGTTTATTTACATATTTTTATTATCAAAAACATTAAAGAATAACCAATAATTGTGTATTATACTCACATATGATTGCTGGAACACAAAACTATCTGAAAATGTTTAAAAATTTCGTGATGTGCCAATTTTTTGCTTTCATAACTAGAATTTCAAATGAAAAGATTTATTAAACAATACATACAGTTTTTTCAATACTACATTTTTTTTTTCATTTGTAGAATATAATTTCCTTTTAATGAAATAAAAAAGTATATTGAATAATTTTATATAATTTCTTACGTACAAAATTACAGGGCAGGAAAAGAGATTTAAAAAGAAGAGGGTTTCTATTATTACTGCTATGTATACTTTTACACTTAATACGCATGCAGAATGATATTTTTTGTTAACCCACACTTGTAATTTTTCTTTATCTAATAATTAATTATCTATAATTAAAATTATTAATTCTATGATGAACGGTCTATCAAGGTTCAATTATGCAAGTTTATAAATTTTTAGAATTACATTTACTTTTTAATTCTAAGAATTTTTTTTGTGCTTTTTTACGAATCCTTTCTTTTTCATTCAGTGTTTGTTTATACCTTATGTATCCTATATTATTATATACTTTACTTTTTATTTTAATATTTTTTTAACGTTTATTTTTAGGATCGTTACTGGAATCTACTCCTGAGGAAAATAGTCACCAAATTAGTACTTCATCTAATATAATCACCCCTGAAACTCTTAGTAGTGATAAATCTGCTTCAAAAATAAGTATTTCCGACTCGCTCGCTGATTGTAGTAAAAATAGTGAAATCAGCTTTTCTAGAAATTCCTACTTGTCTCAACAAAGTAATGATGACGCTATTCCATTCATCGATGATGATGAAGTTAGCATTCGTCCTCAATGTGGTAGAGCTTACTTAAACATACCTAGTTGTGACAGTATTACAAAGTTGGTGAATCGTTTCGATCCGTTTGTCGACAGGGTCGCTTACGAAACTGACGAAAGTAGTCCTGAATCTGATTCTAAATCTTTCCCATTGCAAAACGAGGTAAATCAGGATAATCTTAATGGCAAAACCAGTTTGAACACAAAATACTATACTATGACTAGTTCGTCTAATACTGTTAGTCATATAGCGGAATTGTCTGCTCGGAGTAAAGATTTGTCTGTGGCTAACAAAAGGGAAAGTTATCCTTCAACAATAGGAAGAAGTACTTTTCAAGACTGTGATTCCATCGATGACAAAATTTCTATTCAAAGTGAAAACATAAAGGGAGTGAAAATGGTTGGTAGAGCGACTGTGATGAGAAGACCCAGTGTCTCCAAGTTGAAAGCATTGTTTGAAAAAACAGGAATTTCTACCTGTAGACAGAGTGACGGGGGTAAACGTTCATTGTTTAGGAATAACACTCATCATGTTTCTCGTGCAGGCTCAGCTCCACCATCTTTGAATTGTATGGATAGAAATTCTGCAAATGAAAGGGAATCTATTTTAATGATGGTTACTCGTAAATTTCGTTCTTCATCCGTTAGAACCGAAAGGGAGGTTGGTGTGCGGCCTAGTAATAAATCGCAAAAGAGGACGGTCACAAATTCTGTAAATAACTTAGGAGAAAAGATTGCCACGCTGTCTCGAACAGTATCTTTTAATTTAAACAAGAAATTTCGGAATAATTCTACTGCTTCACAAACTGAAAATTGTAATGAATTTGAAAATAACCAATCTACGAGCAATAGTACATCCTGTAATAGTAATGAAGCCACATCATCAACAAAAAGCAAATCTATGTGGTATGATAAGTCATCTTTACCTCGGGTTATAGCTGTAGTCAAACCGACTGAAAAAATTGTTGCTCCTCCTATCGAAGAACCTTCCAGTCCAACAAATAAAAAACCGGACAAGCTTAAATCGAGTCCCTTCTCATTTTCAATAAACAGACCACCTAAACTATTACCATTTTTAAGCACTTTAAGTAAAGGAGATGGAAAAGATACAACTATGTGGTATAGTGAAACAGACAACATGTATACCAAACCTATACCTACAGAGACTCAGCCTACTGTATCAGATATTAAATCAGAAAATCCTATAAATAACTCAAAAGACATCTCTAATAGAATTTTTCCTGGTATTTCTTCATTGAGACCTTGGAAAAAGATATCTAAAAACCCACTCAATATTCCAGATGCTCCCAAAAGTCCAACATTTTATGCTGTCATTGATGATCCGCAGGATAAGTTGGCTAGTATTTCAGCTGCTTCTGAAATCGCTCCAATCTGTCCTGTTCCTGAAGAAATTATACCCTTGAGCTCCACAGAAATCCATAATTCCACTAATTCTGCAATAAATGAAACAGTAAGTGTTGGTGACTATCGTGGTTCTGATATTCCTGAAGATATCAATATACCACCTTCAACCACGGATGAATCAACCACTAAACAATCCGATTCTTCTCAAGACTCCACTCTACCATCTTCAACTGTTAATATTTCCAAGTCATCAACAGAAGTGGATATTGTGACCGAGAAAGATGAAAAAGACGTACCTCCCGCTATTCCCAGAAAAATGCTTTCTAGGAAAAATAAATCAATGAATCAGCTGAACGATCTTGTTGATGAAGAAATAGGTGCCAAATCTCAAGTGCCTCTGACCTTTGACAGGAAAAAAGATCCTCCACCTTCTCCTAATGATCTTTACAGCAATGTTAATGAAACGGCTAAGAAAAACATTGAAATAATTGAAAAAGCATTGCAAATCAATCCACGTAGTGCTATAATTGATTTAACATCGAGGGAATCGTATTGTATGGAAGAAGAACTCGCCAATGCTGTCAAACAGTTGGCAGCTCCTCAGCCAATGAGTCCTAAAGGCAACTCAAAATTTCCTGGTTATGAAATCATATGGCCTGAAGACGTTGCCCTCATTAAAAATCAAATCAAACCATTTAATGAAAGCCAACTGCAGTGTAAGACTGGAATATGTTACAGCCCCCCTTTGAGAAGAAGTTTTAAAGGTAGTGTGAATCTATCAAAAAGTAGTTCCTGCTCTAACATTGACTGGCTCGAACCCAATGAGACGGTAGCAGTTGTGGATAATTTTAAAGAAGGTTCTGCATCGCCCACCAAAAAGCTTGTCAAAGAAGCTGCTGTTGAACTCAATACACTATTAGATAGATTGACCACGCAAACTCTGTCTGAAGCGGAAGATGTGGATCTCAAAAATAAACACTCCGCTAAAAAAACTGAAAGTAGCTGTAACACTAATTCAGAAAAAAGTTCATCTTTTAAAAGCGGTTCTGCTCAGACAAATTTAATTACTCATTCAGTAACTATCCTGTCTAAATCTTCTCGTACCAACAGCTCCCCTAAAGAAGAAGAAATAGTTTTCCATTTCCCACCACCTCCTCGCAATCCACCTCCGAAGGAGGATACTACATCTGAACGTTTTGATATAGTTGTCAAAAATGGTTCTTTAATAGTTTCTCCAAACAAAAATGAATTGGATAAGGAAATGAATGAAAAATGTTTGAGCTCAACAGGTACCCAAGTATATCCTCAACCAGCCCCTAGGAAGAGCAAAATACGTAAATCAGCTTCTTATACTAATTTGTGGGCACCTCAAAGTAAGGGCTATGAAAATGTGTTCCTAGAGAAGTACCAAACCCTCTCGCGACTTCAAATTGGTTCTGAAAACTCACCATCTAACCCTGGTACCAGGAAAGAAGCAAACAGAAAGCCTACAAAGAAAACTCTCCCTGACTATGTAAACGTTCAGAACTTTCCTTTCTCTGAAAATAAATTACTCCATACTACGACTGAAATGTCATTGGACGATGACAAATTGCAAAACTCAAAACAACGACTTGCTGATTCAAATATGAGCAGAAGCTATCCCGAGCCATCTGATGTGAAGCCAGCAGCTTTAGCTATAGATACTTCTTATGGTGATCAGTTTTCTAATTATGGCAAAATTCTCAAAACACCTGCCAAAAAGCAAGATCCATTAACTCATCAACCAAGTGTTCCTAAATTGATGAATAAGGAATCGGACAGGCATCTTACACCTTCAAGGAAACATGAACGGGCTCCCTTGCCGCCTGATGTTAATCTTGTTTATAAAACCAAAGATAATTTCAAAGTGGAATCCACTGACCAGTCAGTGTCTTCAAAGAGAATTCCATCGAGAAAGCAAGAAAAAGCTCCACTGCCTCCACCTTTGTTATTAAAAAGCTCTTCGGCAGCAGCTGTTAATAAAAATATGTCAAAAACACCATATTATACCAATTTCTCCTCCCAGAAGTATCATGAAGATACTCGTACATTGCCTGCTGTGCGGGAAAACATTGCCAACACAGACAGCTACTTGAAACTCGCGACTAAAAAAGAAATCCCGCCAAAAGAACAAAACAGTAATCGACCTAGTCGAGGATTGTCCCATTCACAGAGTGATGCTAGTGTGTTTCTTGCTCTCAAGGAGAGAAAGGCATTTTCTTTGAATCGGGATCAAAAACTGTCGGAGCAAAAGATCCTGGTGACGAATAAATTCTTAAAACGGAATAAGGAGTTAGCTTCTGTGAGTAGTAGTGATAGTGACAGTAGTTATGAACGGATCTTTTTTGATAAACCTGTTAAGTCAAATGAAAGGGTTGTTCAGAAGAAAACTGAGGAGAGAACAAATTTAATGGTAGAGAAGGATTCTATGAAAGAATTGCCCGTTGCTCCCCCAAGGGCTAGGAGGCGGAACACAACGGAAATACAGTATGCTAAGGTGAAATCTAAAGAAAGTTAGTATTAATTATTATTGTTTCACATGCATCCCTGTGGCAGAATTTTTTCGAGCTATCTGCGACAAAACTGTCTAGCACTAATATCTTTTTACAAGATACTTTTAATAATAACAAACATATGTGTTACTAATTCAAATAACAAAACCGCTGCATTTACAAAAANAAAAAAAAAAAAAAAAAAAAAAAAAAAAAAAAAAAAAAAAAATAGAAAAAGCTGTATATAATTATTTTAATTAAACATGTAATAATTTTATATTCTAATATTATGGATGATATTCTTGCATTTTGTTGGGGAAGAAAACGCATTAATTATTTCCATCTTCGCTTTTTGTAAATAATCATCACAATAAAAAAATCATGAAAACTATAGTAGTAATTGCCGAATAAAAGATCAACGACGAAATCACGCTAATCGAACTGTGTTTCGTTTCCAGATTAGGTTAATGTAATAAAAAATATCAGATTTAAAAACTATAGTGAAATCGATAGCAATAACTGCCAAAAATTCGATGAAATTATTGCTTTAAAAAATAAATACTCAAATGCACCATTCGAATTTTTGATATTGTTTGAAATATATCAGGATATTTAAAAATCTTATGAATATCAATAACTGGCGAAAATACAATCGAAACATGAAATCGATTTACGATACTATCGGCGTAAATTGAGCGCATGAAAATGTGGTTATCTAAATGCATTATTCAAATACTACTTGTAAATTTCTATAGGAAAGAAAGTAAAATTGTTTTTTATTTTTCAAAAGAAAAATCTCTCTGCAATGTCGCCGTGTCGCTGCGATTCTGCCACGGGGGTGTGCATTTACTATATTCTTATCTTGTTTACCTTTTAAGAGGAAAAGTTCAAAGTACCTCTCAAATTTAAATAATAAAAGGAGAAAAATTTTAAATCATCAGTTATCTAATGTGCATTTTACACTTTAGCTGTTGATCTATTTTACAAACTTGTTCTATAGTTTTCTTGATTAGTGTTTTTTCTTTAAATGACATAGATGGTGCAGGGGGAATAAACTGGTCATATTTCAAATTTAGTTTCAGATCAATCAACACTCACCCCCAATGCACTAAGTTTTTTTTTTACTAAATTTTGTTATTTGATTGAATATTAAAGATTAAGTAATTGCATTTTCATTTAGAAACTTTCTATTAAGAAAAAAATACATCAATAATTTTTTTTCTGAGTTAGTTAAATACCGTTTTATTTTATATGTACAAGAGGTAAATTCAAAACAAAATTCACCAGTAAAATAAATTCAAAATCCATCAAAAAGCTTTCTATTGTTTTCCATGCAAATTTAAAGTAAATATAGATAAAAAAAACTCGTTAGGCAAACTGTGAAGAACTACTTAACCTGATCTGCCAATTATCATTCTAACTTAAAAAATCTCAAGAGTGTCTCTATAATTATCATATTACTAAAGTTTTAAGCAATAAAAAAAGTACCATTTAATTTTTGTGAGCATTAATTAGTTTATACCTTTAACTAATGCGATTTATAGTAACTAATAATAATTTACATGTATTCTTTTGGTAATATAAACATTTAACTGACTTATGTTGTAAGAATATTTTTACCTCACTTTCATTTACTTCTTTATTTGAAAAATATAATATTTAATAAAAACTCTCTATCTTTTCAATTGTTCAAATATTCTAAGTGTTCTATAAAACTGATATCTATTAATTTATGAATTGTATTTTTTGTATTTCCGTTAACTTTTTAAATACTATTGTTATGTTTTGTTTCAAATATTTATTCTCTTACACAGCAACACCTTCACCTTTGAAAGTTTTCAAAAAAGAACAACTTCAGGTTTGTTTATTATTTATTTGTAAAAATATATCTGTGCATGCTACTCAAGGGTGGATGTTACTATTACGATTTATCTGTTATAGCAATTTTGTAGTTAAGATTAAGGTCTCACAGTAAAAAAAGTTAGGATTCTTAAAAATTAAAATTTTTGGGAATTCCCTTTATAATCTGTTTGAAATATTTTTTCTCACTATCTAACAAGAGTTTTAAAAATTTTGTTGTTTGCAACTAATCTGCAATAATTTTTTTCTACTCCTTAAACAATTAACTCCTAAAAACAATAAAGAAAAGCAAAAGCATCTCATTTTTCTCTCATGAAACAAGCTGTCCTGCAGGGTGGCCACCCACCTGGAAAACCTTGAAAACCTGGAATTATCAGGGAATTTTTTTATACTGGAAAAAACCTGGAAATATCAGGGAAATTTGGATAAAAACCTGGAAAAATCAGGGATTTTTAAAGAAAAGCTGGAAATTTTTCTTTGATGATTTTTTTAATTTCACTAATTTAAATTATTTGCTAATTTTCTTAATTTAAATTATTTCATCCATTATACCCACTTTTTTTTAACGGAAATGTATCGCCAAACAGTTGAAATATCATCAACTTAGCAATACTTTGCTTGCATCAAAATTTGCTCCATTACAGCTGTTAAACTAGAATGCCACATAAAATTCTCCTACTGTTGCTAAACGAATGCAGAAACCTTTGACCGCTATGGGACTGTGCAATTTAGGAAAGATTCTGGTGTAGGTGGAAAAAGATTTAGGATATTAGCTTCTATTTTTAAATACTGTCTTTGGGCTGAATCCATTTATGGCTCAAGTTTGTTCCGATGCTTTGGTGGTAATTTTTTTTTCTATTTTGACAAAATGTTTTTGTATTTTTAACTTTATAAAATTCTCCAAAAATTAGTTGGTTATAATTTGATAATAGATTTTATATTGCACTCTTTTTCTGAAATTTTTTCTACTCCCATTCAAGGAAATCTGTGAATTATTTTTTCTCAGCAAGCCAACCAATCACACATTTTTTTACCATCGCTGACAGCAATGTTTGTCGATAAATCGTTACAATTGTTGCATTAATGCTAATTTTTTCTATTTCATTTTAACCTTTTATAACATATTTTTAAAAAATGGTTTTTTTAAGAACCAACTATATATTAATATTTAATTTTACTCTTTTGTTGGTCAATATATGATTTTTGATTCAAAATTTTGTACCAAAACATTAAAAAATAAATAAAAAATCTTGCCAAATTGTCAAAATAAATTATTTTTTTCAAGATGATATGTTAAAAAAATAACATTTTGAATAAAATATTTTATAATATAGACACTTTTCTTGTACACATCCTACACTTTATAAGAAAAAAGAAAGAAAAACCTGGAAATTTTAAGATTTTTATCTGGAAAAATCAGGGAAATTTGAAATCTGATTTGAGTGGCCACCCTGTCCTGAAACATAATCTTCTATCTTCATTGAAAAGCAAAAGAACGTTAGTGGATAAAATTCATGATGATGAAAAGGTAATAAAAACTGGTTCTAATTTAACCACAAATTGGAACATTGATTCCAAGTAATCAATTTAATTTTATTGTTTTTTTAATGAATGTTTTTTTTAAAAAATTTTTAGTTATAATTTAGCACCTTTACCTATTAATTAATTTTTTTATTTAATAGTTAATTCTTGCATACAATATTAATATTGTATATCTATATAGAAATATGTAGTACATACACTTTAAAATTGTGAAAATTTGAATTAAATAAGTACTAACTGTTCATATTTCTATATTATTGTACTTCTGATTACTGATAGCTAGTTTGGAAAGTTGTCATTTCTGGTTACTGCACAAATAAGATCAGTTTATATTATCTACATTTTTACTAAAATGTAACAAAATCTACCAAAAACGGTGGTACTTGTTCATTTGGGGTGGAGGTGCAAAAAAGAACTATATTTAGAGTACCAATTACTTCAATTAAATTGGTATCACTAGTGTCAATAACAGTTCAGTGATTTTTTGTAGCTGTTTGTAATAGATAAGTACCAAATATTTCAACTAAACTCTTTGAAAAAAGAAAAAAATTAAGAGGAGGATCTCCATATCAGTACCTGTGCCAAAATTATATAATTAGTGTTTACAAATATTATAATCCAAAAAATAGATGTCGTTAAAAATAAAGAAGTAAATAAAAAGAAGAAGAAAATTTCTTTTCATTTTGCTTACTGGCTTTAATATTTTATTTAGCTAAAATGCTTCATTTTGATTGATTGGTAAATTACCAATTTTATTTCTCAAAAATTGCATGAAAAATAAGCATTAAGTTGTTAAACAAATGATAATAATCATTTTTGTTACCATCTTTTTGTTTTATTGCTATTCCTATGAACCTCTAAGGATTATTTTCTTGTGATTTTGAACTCATCAAACACTGTTCATTTGTAGTTTAAGTAACTTATATAATAAATAAATTTGTAATTGAAGAAATAATTCTGTACATCTAATCTCAAAATTAAAATTTCAGAAAAGTGGACATATTTCTTCTAATCAAGACTCACCTCCTGCAATACCAATTAAAACAAGGGATGCATTTGAAATTCCAGAGGAAGAGCAAATCAGAAGTAAGGAAACTTGATTTGGTGCATTTATAAAAAATTATGTTATCATTCATTTGTTCCTTGCTCTTCGTACAGGTCCTACCAATGAAATTTAAGAACATATAATTCAGAGTGCTACATAAAATCATTTAAAGTATAACTCACTCATTAGCTCTACAGCCCATGGAGGATCTTGGCCTCCCTCACACATGTCCAAACTTTTCAAAAAATTCTCTCAATTGTTTTTTAAAATTTTTTTCTCACTTTAAGTTTTATACTTTTATTGTTGAATAAATTTAAAACACTTTTTTGTAATGAAAATGATTCTTCAGGAGTTAATTGAAAATTGTCCGAAATTTTCAAATTTTTTTTATTGAAAATCTTGAGTGAACTGAAAACCAAGCTCAAAATACATTTTTTTAAAAATTGAATTGATATGATTTTGTATTGATATGTGTATGTGTATATAAAAAAAAAAAAAAAAAAAAAAAAACAGTCATTGCTCAAAGAAATATTTTCTTAAACCATTGCTTAAGAAAATGGACTTAGTTTAAAATAATTGTTTCAGAAAATGCTTATAATTTAAAATACAGTCTCAAAAGAGAAAGAAAAAGAACACAACTTAAAATGCACTTTTTTAATGTCAAACAATTAACCCAAATTTTGAACACTATCAGGGGTCTGTCCAGGCCGAATTTATTACCATTTAGCGGTACCTTCACAAATTCAACTTTAGAAAAAACAGTAGTTTCACAAAATACTTTTTCTTAAAATTTTATTTTTGTATCCCTTAGAAACGATGAATCCATATTTTTACCATATTTTTATGTTGATTTTTTATTATAATTTTTAATTTTTCACAAATTATGACTAAATTTTCACAAAATAGGTACTTCTCAGAAGAACCTAGACAGACCCCTGACTAAGATTAATCACCATGTGACTTAGGTTTTATGTAAACTTGCTTTGGAAACATGATCTAAAAGCAACAGTAGTTCTTTAAAGTTTACAGTTGAAAAATCATTTTAATAAAATAGTTGTCTCAAAAAGTATCCAATGCCTTGCCCTTTTTCTTAAAATCTAAATACATTTAGCCAAATATATATTACAGCTTATGCACAGTAAATAAAAATTATTGATTTTCTTCGTTTTTCTCTTTTTTCTTTTTGTCCTTTGTGTGCTATGTATATAAATACTGCTTTTAAATTATATTTTCCTAAAAAATCTAAAAAAATTAATATTTTGTTCCTATGTCTGTATTGTCGACAATTGATTGGTTTTTAAAATCAACTTCCAATGACTTTTTTTTATTTTATGTGGTTTTGATCTAATTATTAAAAATCAAATATTGATAACATTTTTAACCTCTTTTTTCTAGATTTCAAATCATCTGTAAGCAAAACTCAAGATGCAGAAGACAGATCTTTTGAATCATAGATTGAAAATGTCATGTAAAATTATGTAGTACTTAATTTATTTTGCATTTTGCTGTGCATTTTTACATTCTCATTTCTTGTGCTTTGCTCCTTTTTTTTACCTGGTGATAACTATTCTGTGATCTTAATATTGAAAAGCGGAATCATTTAGTTATATTATTAAAAAATTTGAATAGTTAAACTGCTTCCAGATCTGAATATTATTGTTCACAGTATAAATTTTTATTATTCAGAATATTTTATTTTTGTTTTGTTTAAATTTAAGAATGTGAAATTATTTTTATTTGAAAAGCATTGTTGCTTTTTCAAAATGTTGTTTGAAATGTATTATGTTTGTTAATTCTCTTTCAAACTTTACTATAGTATGATGTAAATAAAAATTATTTGTCTAGTTTTTATTTCTAAAATGTTGGAATAGTTAGAATTGATAATTAAATTTTTTAATGAAACTTTTAATTAGAAATTGATGCTGCTTTTTCTCAGCCAAACATTATCTATTTTTGTTCTTAAAAAATATCTCTTTCTTTTTCATATTTATTCTTACTATGAAAAATGTACATAATATTTTTATTCAATTTTACATTGTAAATTTTATTTTCAATATTATTCTGCTGTACTTATTTAAAAAGAATTGGTTTTAAAATCCACTTTCTCACTATACTAGATACTCATTTTCTAAAAGGTATATTTTTGTAACTAATTTTTTCATCAAAAACTATTCTAGACACACTATTATCTGAAAACCAGAATTGTCAACTAAACTTTTATTGTCAAATATTGTGTTCAGTTTAACGTTCTTCAAACATTTGAACTTTAGTTTGTTTATATATGGCTTTTTAGAACTATGCATTCATTAAAATCTCTTTATGTTCATTTTTTTTGTATTTAAAACTTAACTTTCATTCATGCTAAATTTTTATGATCTCACTCATTTATAATTTTTAATAAATTTATTTTTAGTTTATTATTATTTTCATACATATGTAGAATAAAGTTTAAACATATTGCGTATTGTGAATAGACATAATTCTTCTTTTCAAAGCTTGTGACAGGTTAATTATTTTTTTTTTTAAATTGCTGTTTTTAAGATAAGTTTTTAAAATATTGCTTAGCATGAAATATATGATTTATGTTCTCTACTTTTATGAAAATTATTTTACTGCAGTTGCAGTAACTTCTTTTTTACAGTATGATTACTGCCAATTGATTCAGAATAAACTGCTCCAGATAAACCCTTATTTTCCCTAATTAATATGGAATTTCCATCTCAAAATGGGCAAAAACTCATTAATATGCTCCTACTAAGTGTCATAACTATGTACTGGCGTTCTTGCTTAAGTCCCAATCGTAATAAATTTGTATTAAATTTTAATAGGTTATAGTCAAAATTAGGAAATTTTGCAATTAGCCTTTTTTTACAGTGGCCTTTTTTTCTAAAATTGAGAATTTTAAATGATTGAAAATTTGGTTGATATTATTTAAATTGATTGAATTGGTTGATTAACATTTCTCAAAATATTGTAAACATTACTAAAATGAAGAAACAACTTTTATAAAACAAACTTAAAGTAATTTTCAGTTTATTAAACAATATTTACAATAAAACTATCATCATCATAGTTGGCCAGACAGCCCAATGTGGGCCATTGCCTCCTTCTGAAGATTTTTTCATAACGTTCTGATTTATCTTTGATCTCCAATTCTTTTGCTTAATTGCAAGAAAATCAGAATCCACCAAATCAGCCTATCTCTAACGCTGCCTTCTCTGCTTTCGTGTTTCAGTGGGTCTAAAGGGCAATATCTTTATTATTGTATTGTCATCATTCATTCGAATCACGGAAGCTACTTAATTTATACTAATAAATCCATATTTATTGAAATATTTTTAATAATAAAATGCCTTTTTGATAATAAGAAAAGTGGCGATTGTAAAACAAATTTTTAACCGTCATTTGTAATATTTAGTAATAAAATTACAAAATGAAGTAATGTATTTACTGGTAAACTGATAATACTGATAGAACTGGTAGTACTGATAAACATTCAAAATGATAATAACAGTTAAAATTCATTTCAACAAAAACTTCAGCTTATTTTATTCATTTTTGTTTATGCATACATGAAAATCAGATTCAGACCTGGACTATTTCCTGCTCCAGACCAGTGAATTTAACTGTTAGTCATAAAACATAGTTTTAGAACAAGTATTGATAAAATGTTGAAAAAAATTTGTTCTTTACATTAAATAACCTCAAACTAATTAGTAATATCTCTTTGGGTTTTTGTATTCATAATGTTTGACCAAGTTATTGAAAAAATCGGCTTTTTGCCGAACGAAGGTGAATCATTTAGGGCTCCATATTCAAGAAAAATTGGGAAACGCTGCCTTATAATGTACTGTTATTTATACTTTTTGCATTTATAGATCATAACTTTAATTCCTATTGATCAATTTTTCTAGTCAAAAGAATTTTTAAATATTCAATTTTAAAGAAATATCTTAGACTTCTATTATTGACCATTAAAAAATACTCATGGTAGATATTACCTTGGAAATTATATAAACGGACTGTTTTACTGTACTGTTTTATTTTATGTAATTTGCTTCATTTATGCTAAAAAAAAATATAAAGCTGTTTCAAATGTTTGCTTGTTGGCATTTTAATCATACATGTTTTTAATTTTTTGGAAACATTTATATTATGTTCGTTATCAAAAACATCTTTAAGTATACTTTTCTGCTGCTCAACTTCACAGAATCACTTCCATATACTTAATTGAATTTTTTTTGTTGTGTGCTTGATTCTTATGTTTTCATTGCGTGTTTAATCATGTTTTTATTAACTCCTCCCCTAAATCGCAATATCATCTTAGCTCTGAATAAACTTTTAATTTACGATAATAACCATTTTTAGCAATTTCAAATTTGTATTATTTTTGTCTTCAGATTTGATTAATTAAACTTCAAAAGATAAAAATAAACCTTAAATCTTTATTGGCCTACCTAAGTTTATTATAATTTAATTTTTTCTTTTATTTATTACAAAAATTCTAGTTAAAAGCCTATTTTTAAAATTATGGTTATAAAAAATTATAGAAAACAATTAGAAAGATTTTTTAACTTTTCCCCCTTCTTCTTCAGTATGGGTAATTTCAGTAAATGAAATTTTCTCTAAAATTTCAAAAAAATGAAGGCAATATCTNGGGTGTAGTTCTATTTATAGCAGAGCAATGCAAAGCATCGTACTTCGGAAAAGCGTATATATACGCCTGCGGCAGTTAACGCATCGTCTGGCCGAGACGTATATATACGCCCGCGGCAGTTAAGGGGTTAACTTTTCCCCCTTCTTTTTAAGTATGGGAATAATGAATGAAATTTTCTCTAAAATTTCAAAAAAATGAAATATGTATTTATATAATCTGTTTTTATTTTATTTTTAGATGCCTGAATGATTACTTCATTATTTTCTGATTATTTTATGATCTTTAAATTTTTATCTAGCTTTTCTTAAACATTTTGTGTGAGGATTTTTATTTTTAGTTTACTTATTAATTTAGTGAGTGTTAAGTAAAATTGATAAGACCCTTTAAAATTACAAAAGCCTTTATTTTTTTTTTAGAAAAAATAGGTATTTCCCATTTTATTCAAGGGAAAATTACTAATTATGAGGAGGGTTAATGAAACTTATAAAAATCTCAATTTAAAAATTTTTCAGTTTGACAATTAATAAAACAATACAAAGTGCTATCACCTAAATAAGTAAAAAAAACTAATCATTAATTAATTAAGAAAAGTTCAAGTCATCTACTTAAATATTTTTATAAAGTAATGTTGAATCAGAGTTATTCATAATCCTATCATCAGTCATTAACGTGTTTTTTTAAACTGTTAGCATGTTTTTTAAACAATTTTTACCAATGGTGCTGCTCTTGTGTCGGATATGTTTGATTACATTTCTATGTTTTTCTCTGATCAATAAGTAATTTCTGTTCTTTACTAAAATTGCTGTACATAAATTATAATACTAATTTGTTAAAGCTTTATTTAATTAAGTGTTTCATCTGTATTGATGTTTAAGATATTAATAAAAATATTGTTTATCCATGATTAAAATTGTTAACTTTAGATTTAATGTTATATTTGTTTTGTGACTTATGCTTGTATTATTTGCAGGTGCTATGTGTAATGTTCTATATTTGTTAGTGTTACATCCTTACGTTTTTTTTTATGGAAAATGCTATTTGCTTGTATATACATGTACACTTTATGTTTAGATTTCCTTATAAATAAATTTATTTTAAGACTTGTTTTTTTTTTCTTCTTTCATTCTTTCTTTTATTTTTTAGTAAAACAACTAGTTAATTCATATGCTAATTTCTTGTACTGGGTTGCCACAGGTGACTATTTGCAACTATTTTCAACCTAAGGCGACTATGGGAACTTTTTTGCCTGAAAAGGCTTTAAAAAAAAGCAACTATTTTCAGGAAAAGGAGACTATTGGGAGACTTTTCTGTGCTCCTAACCATGTTTTTTTTAGCATAAATTGGGTTGACAACTTTCAGCCTGCAGTAACTTCTAAACACAAGGAATTTTTTTTTTCTTAAAAAATTTGAAAATTTTGAGTTACAAATTTAAGTCATCACTTTTTAATGCAGTCAGTTTGCACAGATTCCATAGTAAGTTAATTTTGTTTCTCGATCGCCTTTTCAACGGTTAATGCTATGAGATTCTGCGTGATTTTAAGAAACTCAATTTTTAATACGATATTACTATGTGTGAATTTCGAATTTGAATAATCACTTTTCACAATAGGTATATGTATATATATATTTTTTTGTTGCTAAATTATTGATAAAGGGGAAATTTTTTTAAAAAGAGTATGTTTTTTAATGAAAAAGTATTATTTTGAATAAATTCTAGTAATTAAAAGTATTTAATTTTCTGCAAATATCCAAAAAAATTTTTGGTATAAAAATTTAGTGCTAGAACACTAACGTTTATGTAAAAATTATCATATTTGCCACCAACTAGACTAAATTGATCATGGGATATGACAAATAAGTCATTTAATAAAATTAGTCATATTGAAAATTTTTTGTTCTTATTTAAGCAATTATTTCCATAGTTTCAGCAATAGGGATGAGATCTTTCCACTTTTACCTCTTGAATTTCAGATTTTTCTAAAAATTTAACTTTTTTTTATAAGTATTCCGCTTTTTCAGAAAATTTAGCGATTTTCAAAAAGAAACAGAAAATTCAAACTACATAGCTACCAATCCTTTCTCATTTTTACTTATTATAGCTATTTTACTCGCAGCAGATAAGATTTTCCGAATTTTTTACCCGCCCTCCAGATAGATCCGATTTTTGTAGTTCAAACGACGCTGCTTCTGACAAGCATGGAATCTGTTAATATCTCGATTCTTATTCACACGATTTTAATATCAAACATAGCCTTTCATATTTGCGTGTTGCGATTCTTATTCACGCGACTTGAATATTGTATGTTGCGATTCTTATTTACGAGATTTAAAAATCTGATATTGTGATTCGTATTTACGCCTTTTTAAAAACCTATGTAGCGAGTCGTATTCACACAAGTTTAAAATTAATGTTTTGATTTGCTCATACGGTTTATAATATCAAACATTGATTTTGTATTTATACATGATTTTAAAATAGGCATTGGGATTCGTATTCACGCATTCTAAAAATTATGCATCATAATTCTTATTTATGCAATCTAAAAATTACGCATCATGATTCGTATTTACGCGATCTAAAAAT